AAAGATAACACGCTACCAGCATGTGAAAGGGCATCATTTTTCTTCTCTGGGAGTTATGATCTTAGTCCTGCTCCACCCCACGGGTTACAGCTTTGCAGTGGAGCTGTTATTGCTTAAAAAGCAGATCAAATCACACATTCCCACCCTTTTTTTCACTTCATCTTCTCTGCGCCCCAGAACTGGCACGCTGATGGCAGAGAGCAGCTTACCTTAGCAACCGCTCCTGCAAATAGGGCTCAGGTTCCCAAGTGCACAGGGAATTGCAAATTGGAGAGAAACTGTGTGTTCAGATATAAATATTTTTCACACCTTGGCAAAGCATGTTTCTCCTTGACTTTCTGAGCAATGATGTTCTCTGCTATCACAGCTTTGCATTTCATGCTGTCCCTGGAGGACTTTTCCTGCCCATCTCAGCGCTAACGCTGCAAACAGCAATTGTGATGTGAGAAGGGGCTGCTCAGAACTGCATGGCAGTACAGTGGAGCATCCAAGGAACAAATCTGGTTATGGCCCTGGCACGTTTAATCCCAGGCACATCACTTGTTTGATGGGGCAAATCTTAGATGAGGAACTTCACTGATGAAGACAATTGTGGGGCTGGAAGCAAGGAGTGATTTGTTGGTTCAGATGAGACTTGAGGCAAAATCCACACCGATTCTGAGGATGCCAGAATTTCACTTGAAGCTTTTTCTGGCATCCCAAGCAGAGCACACGGTGGCTGAGCTGAAGGAACTGCTCCACGGGAGCCTCCAACCCAGCCCAACATCATCCCAACCCAACCCAATATTATCAGTTGTAACAGGGTACTAAAGGCAGCTTTTCCTTACTGCTCTGTCACAGCCGCAAGACATGTGAGTGGCCCGCTTCACCCAGCTATTTCCCCTGCTTTTCAGCCTTCTGCTTATTTGTAGGAGGATGTTTGTGCTTTCACCACCAGGCACGTGCAGCATTCCTGCTGTTTTAGAGGACCAGACGTATCCCAAGCATCCTCCCATGGGCTGAGGGAGCGGTGCATGTCAGAGACCAGCGTGGGTGAAGGATGCTATGAGCATTCCCATGGGAGCTGGTGCATTTCGGGGCAGGTTGGGGTGTCGGGGATGGGCTGGCCTTGCTATGAGAGGTTTCCATTTTCTACCTTCCAGGCAATCGCCGAGGAAAGAGATTGTCTCATTTTTTCGTGTACGTATATCTCGTCTCATGGTTGCCGAGGCAACACTGTATATGTTTGCAAGCTGGAAGGATCTGGGGATGGAAAATGAAGCCAGGGAGTGGACCGAGGAGAAAAGTCCAGCAGGAATTTTCCTCTGGTCTTTTGCGGCCGATTGGTTCCCACTAATTTAAGCCCCTCTCCTGGGATTAGTCATCAAATCTGAGATTTCCATTTTTATTATTTTAAATCAACCACGGCTGCTCCTGGGAGGCCGTTTTTCATGTTAGAAATTAACCTCGCTGAGATGCAGCTGGTGGGGGCTGCGGGAGGGGAGCCAGCAGTGGGGTAATACCATAGAAACACAAACAAGGTACAACAGCTCTGCTTCCAGCCCTGCCTCGGGACACCTGCGTTGTCCCACTCGTTGCCTGTGCTTGGTTTTAGGGTTCCCCTGGCTCAAGGCATTGCTGGGGTGAGCCTCATTTCTTTTCCTCTCAGCTTTAGGGTCATAGGGCTGCAGAGGTGATGGAGGAAGAGGGCATTCCTCACCAGTGTACAGGGACACGGTGATGTTCTTTGCATGGGAGGGCACAGTGCTCAGAGCAGCACACGCAGTGTTACAGCAGAGCGTTTTCAGCTGTTGGGAAAAAGGCTGTAAAACACAATTCCCACCATCAGCAGCCCTGTGGGCCCAGGGTACATCAAATCGGGTATTTTGCCTCTGGCAGCAACCAAAACCTGATGCGCCAGCAGATGGTAAACCCTCAACCTTTAATTGTTTAATGCCACAGCCAGCCAGGACATTTTTTGTGATCCCATTAATCTTTGCTGTGAAGGAAAGGCTGTTATAACCATATCCATAGCTTGCAACTGCCTGGTCATTCCCATCATCTAAATAACCTGCTTTCTGTAGCTACCCCCCAATGCTGCAGGTTAGCAGAAGAGAGGGAAAGATGCTGCCTGCAACCTTTAAAACCCCCAAACTATCAGGAAAAAAAAAAAAGAGGTATAGCATGAGTCTCTGTATCTCAAATGGAGATGGGCAGCATCCCGATGGGAGATGGGCAGCATCTCTGTGCTGCTTGCCTGCACCCCACCTGCTCTCCAGCTCCATCACATTCATACAAAGGGAAGGAAAGGAAGCATGGGAGGGAGGGGGAGAGGGTGTTTCTGGTATTGAGCAGCAGTGCAGGGCCATTTCTCTCGGCAGCTGACAGTGTAAATGCATTTCCTGGCAAGCTGCTCGCTCTGTATTAAAATTCTTGATGAAGATTATTAAAGTGTGTTTATGAAAAGCCTGCGAGTGCTTCTTGGACTCTGAGCTGGCTTTTCAAAATGAGATGTTTGGGTGCGGGCTGAGCGCTCGTGGGTTATTAAATCCAGCCTGCCCCAGCCCCAATGCACGGGGTGCAGCTGCCCACGCAGCCTGTGCAGCCCCTCACCATGCCCAAAGCATTGCTGCAAAGACACTTGGGCATGCTGCAAGGTTGAAGGAAATGCTCATGACCCTCTGAACCCAGCTTGGGCTGCAGAGGTGTGATGGGGGATGTGGGGCCATGCTCCAGCCCCTCTGGGGACTATAGGGCTGGAGCAGTGAGCCCTGCTGTTTGTGCTGGCAGAGCTTTGGGAGATGTGTCTGCACTGGAGACAGAGCCCTCCAGTGCCACACACAGAACATCCCACCCACTGTGCCATCAACTGTGCTGACACCTCGAGGTCCCCCAGCACCACGTAGCCACCTGCACTCTCTCCTGACCCGGTGCAGAAAGCCCCTTGCACACACACGCATGCACAGATTCATGCACACCCACCCCCATGTAATCCCTTGCACACACGTGCAGATGCACACACAGCTTCATGCACACCCCTTGCAGACATGCTTGTGCAAACTGCATGCACACCCCTTGCACACACACACACACACCCATGCTGCATGCACACCCCATGCACACCACGAGCGCCCGGGGCAGCAGCTTTGGCCCGGGGCTTGGCTTACTTTCCTGCATGCTTTCCCCTTCCAGCTTCAAGCAGGATTTTTAACATGGGAGACCAGGTTGTATATCTAAATATATGTCCTTTAAAAAAAGACGTTTCCAAGAACAATGGTGGAAGCAACCCAAAAATGTGCTAAGGAGGACGAATGCATCAGGACTGGAGTCCAAGCAAAATATCGGAAGGGTGAATCAGAAAGGAGGAAAAAAAATAGGAACGTATGGAGTTTTTAAAAGTTTTTTTTTTTTTTTTCCCTTTTTAATGTTAATGGCAGTTTTTCAATTTGAGCTTCAAGTGCTGGAGAAATGTGTCAACTGCTGCTGCCCTGAGCCATATTTTGGAGGGGTGCAAAAGCATTGTTGTGGTGACAAGTTCAAGATGGTTTCAATCCAACCCCTTTTAGCCATTGCAAAAATGTCTTTGCTATTATTATTATTAATTGGGCTCATTAATTTGTGTCCTGCACTTTCCCTCAGCTCCTCTGTCTCTGTGCAGAGTGATTCCCCCGGTGGCGTTTGATTAGTGGGGCTAATTAGAGCCCACTTACACAGGTTGGTCTCAGCCACAGCTCCCCAGTCCCTCCTAGCTGCAATCAGAAACAACTCATAAAATCACTCAGCTTGGAAAAGACTTTTCAGACCCCCAAACCCAACCCCAGCCCACCCCATGCCCACTGCCCACCTCCCTCAGTGCCACATCCCCACGGTGCTGGAACACCCCCATGGTCAGTGACCCACCACCCCCTGTGCAGCTGTGCCTGTTAACAGTGGGGAGTGATTTATGGCAGCTTCTCAAAGGGTGAAAACTGAGCTTTTCTTAAATCTCTCTATGGGGAAGTCAGGTATGCACCCATGGGGTGAGCAGATGGCACAAAACCAACATGAGTGATGGTGGAGTGATGAGGACAGGGACAGCCTGTGTCTTATGGGCATGGCACTGCTTTCAGGCTGCAAGGCTGGAGCACATCATGGTGTATGGTCATGAGCACACCTCGGCTCTTGGGTTTGCTCCTTCCTTTAGGATTGGCTCGGCCCCTTTGCTTGCCTGGAGCTCTCTGAACCCCGCTCCCATCTTAGTGGAGGTCGCAGCCTAAAGAGCCTAAAGAGGACTGATTGCAGAGGGTGGATGGAGAGACCATAAAATCAAAAAAAAAGCAATAAAATCTTGGATTTGATTGCACAAAACAGGAAGAAAATCCATTCTCCAGGCCAATCAGGATGGCCCAGGCAGAGGTGGGATCACTCCCAAGTTCATACTTGGTGACTGCAGCATCCGTCAGGGCTACAGACAATCTGCGTCTCATTAATCTTCCCATATAAACAGAGGGGGACTCTCTGGAGCAGAGCGGTGTCGCTGGATGAATGGCCTGCTCTTGGAAAATAAACATTTCCAACTCTGCCCCGGCGTTTATTTTTGCAGAATGCCTTTGCTGTGCTGCAGTGCTTTGCTGACAGCAGGACACGCACTGCCCTGGGACAGCCCAGACCCATCCCGGGAGGCCTGGAGTGATGCAGAGTGAGAAACACCCCCCATAGAATGGCGTTTTTTGTACAGAAATTGGGAGTTTTCTTTTTTCCCATCTACAAAAGGCTGCCAGGTGCAGGCTGGGATCTGCGCTCACCCAAACATGCCTTTAATTCTGATTTATTAAGATGGTTATTGTATAGATGATTAGAAACATATTCTGGGAGATTTAAGGGCCTCGGAGCAGACATGCAGCCATTACAGAGCTGTTAATCCTCTATAAATATGCTTTTAATCATGCCAGTATTTAACATTCGATAACTGTCCTATTAAATGTAACATATAGCTGGTGGCTTTGATATCAAGAATGACAAGCTGTTGCTCTCTCCCACAGGCTCACTGACTTCTGCTGCTCAGGAAATACCCCCAAACCCACCTGTGGACGCTCACCCCAACCCTCACCCTCCCACCCCAAGGCTCTGGGTTGATGCTTGCACATTCCTGCACGAGGACCACCAGCAGTAGAGGGATTTGCTGCAGGCTGTGGCAGGTGAGTGCCTTTTCACAACTGGGAGGGATCACCGAGCCCAACTCCTTTTATTGCTGCCTGCTTGTTCTTTGGCATCACTCAGTGCATCTGCTGCCTTTGCCCTGCAGAGCTGCATGCAGTTCTGACATCAGGAAGAGTAAATTCTATGACCAACCCATATTTTGAGACTTTTCTGGTGGACAGAAGGAGGCAAGCAAACCCCATACGCTCAGTTGGTTATGAATGACATCACTTGGGCAGGTTCCCATGTGTCTGTTCCCCACGGTGGGCAGGCTATGGGAGAAAGCAGGCTGTGTGTGTGAAAAAAAACAATAAATGTCACTCTGTGACATTATTTTAGCTGGAAAATGCTCCCCATCACACCACTCATCCCATACGTCCTACAGTGCTTGCGGCTGCCCTTTGCTTTGCAGGAATGCCAGCATGAAATGATGTCTGTGGCACTGCTGGGCCCATGCCAAGGGCTGAGGTATCCCCGTCTGCCTCGGCTGTTGTGCTTCCTTTGTTGATGGCTCTGCAAATCGATGTTTTGTCCCCAACACCGCCCGGCTGTCCCTTGGCTGGGGCAGGACAAGGGGCCATTCTTCATGGAGAACAGTTGGGGATCTCATGGCAGGGTGGTTGGCTTCCAGCCATCGCCTCCCACCGCCCTCCACACCTCGGTCATAGCTGGGCCATGCCATCCACTGGGACCCATGCCATCTGTGGCAGGGGACAGGAGCAGCCAGCAGCAGCCAGGGGTGGCCCTGTGTTCACAGCGCATCGCTGGAGCACATGCAGCAGAAGGGCTCAGATGAGAGGGGTATGGAGATCTTAAGGTGCTTTCTTAGAATGGGTTCGTTTGCACATTTCTAGGAGGGGTGCGGGGCAGCAGAGTGCTGTGTGATGCACGGTGCTGTGTGATGCACGGTGCTGTGTGATGCACGGTGCTCTGAGCTGCTGGCTCACTGCCGACAGCACAAATGCAACAAATAAATGGCTCCCCCTTCTCCTGCAAACCCAGGAGCAGCCCAAGAAGTGAAGGTTAAGGCCCCCGGTGCTCCCAGCTCCGTTTCCAGCACCTCACCTTGTGCCTCGGTGCCTCTCTGTGCGCTGAGCCAGGCAGGCACTTGGAGCAGGAGCTGTTTGCTTTGGCTCACAGCAGGCTTTGTGCAGCCGCCGGCCAGCTTTCCACAGCCCACCCTATGGACATCCCTCCCTGAGCACCTACCTGGGCCGCCGGCACCACCGCGTATTTTGGCTGTGCTGTGCTGTTTCTGTGCCGACCTCCCCCTGAAGGTGTCAGCCGGGGGGGCTGTGAGGACCTGCCACCCCCTGCCCATCTCTCTGTGAGCCATCATTTCCAGCCCTGGAATATTCCCTGCATCTTTTTGCATCATTCCCTGTGGGTTGGGAGTGTGGTGTAGCTCAGGATGCAGGAGGCTGTGTGAGTGAGGATGCTCAATGTGGAAAGAAAGGGGAAAATAAATCACAGCTGTGACTTTTAGCCCTTTGCAGTCCTCAGTGCTCAAAGTAATGCAGGATCTGAGAGAGGGCAGGGGCACGACTTGGTGCTGCTGCTCACCTTCCCCAAGCACAATGCGTTCAGAATCCTGAATAGATGTTTTCATCACATCAAAACCTGCCTGCAAAATGCTGTCTGGCAGAACTCTATTCAGCTGGAAAAACACCGGCTCGCTCTCGCTTTGAGTTATCTCCATGGACCTCATACAAAGTCTCATTTATTCGCTCCCTTTTCGGATGGCCTCCACTTCTCCATCTCCAGGCGTTCACAAATCACGATTTGCATCTCCAGCATCAGCGCTCAGCAAGAACTCTCTATTTCATTTTGCTTCTGTTGCTGCCGTTTCTTCTGCCTTTTGATTCCCTCTTGGATGTCTTTGAGCTTTTTGCTGACTCTGAGAGGTAGAAAAATGCTTTTTTCTTTAGTGCTTCTGATGCTAATGAAATTTTTCAGCCCCAGCACATGAAATCAAGCAAGCATTTGGTGTCTGTCAGATCCCAATGAACTTATCTGCACTGCAGTAGGGCTGGCTATGTTTAGGGCTATAACACAACAGCACGAAGTCATTGTTATCCTAGGACCATGCTGTGTTATTTCTGTCCATCCTGGTATCTGAGGGGAGCAGGGACACTTCTGGCCTCTCCAACTTAGTATTTTCCTGGGGGAAATCTGAGTGCAAACAGAGTAAGGCAGTACATCTATTTAGGGACAGCTGGGGAGGTTCATTTTTTGCCGAGTGCAGAATTTGCTTTAACAGCTTTGTTCAGTTCTCACTGAGGTTAAATCTCTGCTAAAAGAGCAGTGCTGCACTGCACAGCTGCCCAGGGAGTGGGGAGTCACTGTCCCTGGGGATGCTCCATAACCATGGGGATGTGGCACTGAGGAATGTGGGCTTGGTGGGGCGGCTTGGGGTTGGACTCAGTGATGTTGGAGGCCTTTCCCAACCTTTATGATTCTATGGTTCTGTGCTCCGTGTGCTGCTGCCTGCAAACCAGGCCTTGGGCTGCTTTGGGATGGGACTGTCTCCATCAGTGCTGGGCACAGATTGGCTGCGTGGGGGCTGTCAGAATGGGAAACCTTCCCTAGAAAACCCCTCCTGGCTGCAACTCCTCCTTACACCTCCTTCAGAGCCTCATACAGCTTCAGTCTGCTCCTAATGAAAGCAAGCCAAACCCTGCCTGCTTCCTACCACCCACAGGCAGTCAGTCCACCAGGCCCAATTCTGGCAAACTGGGCAGGGTTAAACCTACCCTCAGTGCTACCGGCCCCTATAAAGAGTCTGACAACAAACCACTCCAAAAGCATGAAGGACATCTGTCCTTCCCTGGCATCTCCACCCTTCTGGTGCTCCCTGACACCAACAGATGGAGGCCACAAAGTTACTTCATCCCTCAATCATTTTCCCCCCTTTGCCTTCGTTAAACTGCAGTGCACCCTTCAGTGCGAGGAAATGGCATCCACGTTCCTCTTTTACTGCTCACAACTATTCGGTGATTAAGAAAATGGGGGAGCTGGGGGCACTCATTCTTGACCTCGGGGAAGGCAGGAGGCTTATAAAAGCTCTAAGTGCTGCAGAAATTATGAGGCAATTAAAAATCAGGGCCAGAGCTGGGCCTGGGACAATAAAAACGAGAGGAACTGATGTCAGCCCCGTGCAGGGCGTGGGGAACCACGACCTGTTCAGCCCCAACTGGAAATGCAGGAGCATTCGTCTCAGAGTTTACCAAAGCTGAGCTTGGGTTTCTCGAGCTTCCAAGAGCCAATGAACCCAAAAATCAATGGAGATGTCAGTGCAGATTAGAAGGGTGCGTTTTCTAATCGCAGCTCTCATTTCTTTTGGAGCTGGGTGTTTCCAAGAGCAGGAACTGATGTCCTCAGGTGAGGCTATGTCAGATCCAGTGGTGAAGTCCCCATCCCTGCAGGGGTTCAATAAGAGGATGGATGTGGTACTGAGAGACGTGGACAGTGAGCATGGCAGGGATGGGTTAATGGTTGGAGATGAACCCAGTGGTCTTTTCCAATCTTAATGATCCTGTTCTCTTCTGTGACCAGTGGTTGGGTTTTTCCTTCAGGTGTCAATGACTTCTTGTGCAAACCTCTTGTGTTCAAGTGCGTGGTGGCAGGGAGTGAATGCTGCTCTCTGCATCCTCTTAGGAAAGTCCCAGAAAGTGTCACCTGGCTCTTAGATCATGCTGAGAACATTTGCCCACGTCCTCTGACCAGCTGTAAAACAGGAAAAGACCAAAAAAGGAGAGTTTTTCAGTCTGCATTCATTAAGCTCTCACCCTGCAGGTTTGCTCAAGTTTGGTCATGTGTTTGCTTGTCTGTACTGGAGTGCTGGCAGGATGAGAGCAATATGGGTCTATTTGGCACGGAAAAGGGCCCAGAACAGAACCCAGCTCTGGCCCGAATGTCCCAAAAGGGTCCTGGCCACTGTGAGCAGCTCCAGTTGGAAGCAAACTCCCAAAACCAGGTGGGTGAAGCCGAGAACAGGCACAGCTCATTGCACATAAATGATGGCGTTCTCACATCCTCCCACAGCATCCACTGCACTGATCATTTGTGCAACGAGTGCTGGCATTTCCCCAACCTCATCCACAGCAGCACAGACCAGGAACCCCATTCTCCATCTCAGCGGGATAAACGGCGACCACAGAGACATTTTGCAATGCTTTGCAGCGTTTCAAAACGTGCTCTGTGTGTCACAGGGGGGTGGAAATATTTCTGTGGCAGAACTGCATTGCAGCATCTGCACTCAAGGGAAGAGGGCTGGGGCTGCCTGGGGGCGTGCTGTGTGTCAGAGCACCGCACAGCTGGCTGGAAACTTGGTGAAGCATCGCATTTTGGGGGGTGTTGGTGCTTTTTTAGTGGGACAGCTGTGCCATGGCAGAGCTGGGAGCTGAGCCTCAGTTCCTGACTGCCACCCATTCTTGTTCCTCTTTCCCATGCACTCATTTGCAAGGGATGCTGGCACAGGCAGCCTTGGCTGCAGCATGGACACATGGCAGTGCCTGCACCAGCAAAACCAAACATGCAAGTGGGAACCACAGGCAGCCCACACCCAAATGGGCCTGCAGGGGCCCTTTTTGGTGTGGAAGCACTCTGCAATATGGTAGCCCCAATGCACGGCCCCTCCACTGCCAGCCCCTCGCCCCAGGCTCTTGCAGCTCTGTTTTTACGGGCAGCTCGTTAGCTTCCCTGCTCACTCAGTTTATGTTTGCTGGCTCTCGCTGGCGTTTCCCTCCCTGTAAAACAAGAATGCACAAACACGGGGAGAGGGGTCCCAGCAAGGAGGGTGCACATGGGAAGCAGTGGGTCTGGGTTACCCCTGGGGCTGGGAGAGGAGGACAGGGACCCGATCTCCTCACTGCCTTTAGCCCTTCCCACTCACCAGATACTCTGCTTCTCTCCTGTTTCAAAGGCTGCATTAAAATCCCAGGCCCTACTGAGAGTGGTGTGGCTGAAGGTATGAAATCCAGCCTCGCTGCTTTGTTTC